GGCCCAGCCCGCCGTGGCGCATGCAAAGCGGATTTCGCCCAAAGACATACAGCTACGATGGGTCCTCGCACTGTACCTCTGTGCGGGGTGCCGCCCAGAAGGGCAGACTCAGGCACCGATACAGTGCGGGCGCGGTCGCAAGAAACCCTCGCAAGAAACCCAACACTGAAAACCCGCGCGCGAGGTGCAACTGAGGGGAAACCCGGAGTACCCCGAACGCAGCGGCTCCTTCAACGGCCGCGGGAAGTCACCGCGCATCGCGCGGAGCGAAGAAACCCAGGGTACCCTGACGAAAAGTAGATGGTTTCTTGATGCGCGCCCCCAGCGGCGTGGCCTGGGCCCCACTGGCCGATTTACCCCCCCTAGATGGGGATATAGGTCGTTCCCTTCGAGTTTCGAGGGGTGCATCCCCAACTGGGGAGGCAATTTGGTGGGGGTCTCGAAGGGGATGGAGATGGGGATGGAGATCGGATAAACGATACCGAACCCCAGACCGCTCCTAGGCATGCCTCCGCCGAGCCTGCTGCGCCGCCGCGCCGTCTGCAGGCTCGAGGAGAGACAAGAGCTCGGACTCGGACTCTAAGACGAAGGCAGAATCGAGACAAAATCGGACCGATGTAAATCGGAAATCTCTGAGAATCGGCGGGTTTGGAGGACCTATCGGACGCCGCGGCCGTTTCAGAGCGTTCCAGAGCGCTCTGAGAGCGTTCGGGAAAGCTCTGGAACTAATTTATCTCGACTCTGGGCCCGCCCGACTTGCACCGCAGGGGTGCTGCAGGGTGGGAAAATACAGGCGTGTCACGCTAAGGTGGCACGTTGCTACAGAGCGAGGAGGAGGGAGGACAAGGAAAGGACGATCGCAGAGGAAGCCGGCCGGCCGCTCATTAATCGTTGGGTGTTCGCAGACGGGGTGGGTTTACATCAACACGTGGATGGGAATCGGCAGGACGCCCGAATCGAAGACGTGCGCATGTCGGAGTCGGAAGGTCGGAGGTGTAGGAGCTGGAGCCAAAGAAAAGTTGGGACCCGGAGTCAGAGAGATAGGAGCCAGAGTCGGAAACTTTGGAGCCGGGGTCGGAGACACCAGTACGGCCGCTAGTGTCGGAGAGACGGGAATAGAAAGTGGAAAGTTGGGAGCTGGAGTCGGAAAGACAGGAGCTGGAGTCGGAGAGTGGGGTGCCGGAGTCGGATAGATGGGAGTCGCAGTCGGAGACACCAGCATGGCCGCCGGATTCGGAAAGACGGGAGCTGGAGACGGGAAAATTGGGAGCCAAAGTCTTGGAGATAAGAGCTGGGGTCGGACAATTGGTAGCCGAAGTCGGAGCGATGGGAGCTGGAATTGGAGAGATGGGAGCTGGAGTCGGAAAAGCCGTGACTCTGAATCAGAGGGATGGGAGCTGGAGCGGGTAGGATGGGAACCTGAAAGGGGAAGTCGGGACCCGGAGTCGGAGAGATAGATTTTGGAATCGAAATCTTGGGAGCTAGAGTCGGAAAATTGGAAAGCGAGGTTGGAGAGATGGGACCTCCACGGCATAGTCGTTATATGTCTTGTTGCCGCCACGCCCAACGCCATATAAGAGACACTGCATTGAATAGTCGGCGAATCCGTATTCCAATTTCGCCATGCGTCTGTGCTGGCATTCTCTTGTGGGGTTGTCGCTCCCTGTGGCAAGACCTGATCAGGTTCACCCCATATTGTTTGAAGCTTGGCGACATGGAAGATATTATCCAACCGTCTCCAAAAGAGACGACGAGGTGGCAGTTGGCACAGTGGCTTGCTGGGAGCGTGCCGCATTGCGCCACATGGCGCCGGGGGACCATCCTGAAGAAGACACTACAGCATTGGCCGAGGTGACGCTATGCGAATGCTCCCGATGGGGACGTAGTTGGAGCTCCCGATGGAAACCGGTCCTCGCGAAGGGTGAGCCGAAGTTGGCTAGGCCATGCTATCCCCCACTGGGACCGTTGTTGGAGCTCGCTGTGGAGCATGATCTGCGAGTTCCCCAACTGGGGCTGCAGGTGGAGCTGCATGAAATCCGATCCTCGTGATGAATGTACCAGAAAAAAGTGGGGTGACAGTATGCGAGCTCCCGATGAAAAACAAATCGGCTCAGGACAAGGCAGGAAGAAGTCGCGCCCAGACGCCACATTGGCAAAACCACATTGGAAGACAAAGTTCGAGCCCAACGCAGGCGAGCTGGAGAACAGCCACTACACACATAGCACAGTGCTGGGCAGAGGAAGCCATTAATTGCATTCGCAAAGTGAGCGTGCAGGAAGGCACGAAGAGAGAGCAGAGGGCCGCAAGGGGTGAGGAACGGAAGAGGGGGGCAACATCGATCAGGGCAACACTGCAGCAAGTCGCTTCAAATGTAGATACCACAACCACTGGACACAGAGCTCTTCTTGAGCATGTCTCCACCGTCTCTTTCTCGTTCGTCTCCCCCTCCTCCTCCTCCTCCTCCTCCTCCTCCTCCTCCTCCTCCTCCTCCTCCTCCTCCTCCTTCACAATATAGAAACCACAACCGCTGGGCACAGAGCTCCTCTTGAGCATGTCTCCACCGCTCGAGCCCGAAGCCGGCGCCCGCGTCGACTCAACACTTCCCAGTGAAAATGCCTGGCCTGGTGGCTAGAAGGGAACGCCAGCGCCAAGCAAAGAGAAGAGGCAGGGAGGGCAGAAAGAGGACAGGCGCGCAGGGAGGACAGAAAGGGGACAGGCGCGCACGGCATTGCAAGCGCGCGATGAAAAGGCGGAGGAGGGACGTGAGCGCCGAAAACTTCTGCTGAAAAGAAAGACAAGGAGACAAGGCTAGAGGAACAAAAAACTGCATAAACCTAGTTTCTCGGAGGTCCGCTAGGATTTCTTGGATCGGCGCTGGATCCCCCTCCCTGGCGCGCCCCGCGCGCCAGGAACTCCGCGAGAGGCGCTACCAAGGGAGACCAGCGAGGATCCGAGAAATCCGCGAGGAGCGCCGAGCAAGTATGTTCATCCCGTGTTTTGTCTTTCGAAAGGCAGCTCTACCCCCTCGAGACAGCTAGAGATTGTGTTCTAGTATTTCCGGTAAGAGTCGTGTAACGCTTGCGCGGTGTGGGCCAGGTCGGGCGGGGGTGCGCTGCGATCGCCGCAGTACGCGCGCGAGCACCAGCATGTGGGGAGGGGGGGCAAGCCCCCCCCCCTATGTGCGGTCAGTACCGTTACCCGGGGGGAGGGAGGAGGGGGGAGGTTGGTCCAGGTAACGACCTCTACGCGCCATTTCTTCATACAAGGAAAAATGAATTACACCAGTGAAAACCCAATCAGTGTATGGTTTTCGCTGAGGAGATCGACCAGGAACCCGGAAGCCCGGGAACCCAGAACCCACCGACGAACCAATAAGCGGGAACCCAGGAATTCAGAACCCGGGAACCCGGGAACCCAGCCTGCTACCAACATCGGCGGGAAACCTTCGGCAAATCTTCCAACTTCTGCTAGGACCCCTTCAGTGCAAGCACTGATTGGGCGTTGGCAGAACTGGGTTTATAGTGGGACCTGGTTTAGTGATGTGTACTGGGGGACGCCCACCCGCCCCGTTCCACTAACCGGAGCTGCCGTCAGACCTGGCTTGGTGATTCTGGCCAACTCAAGGGCTCCAGGGCCCTATACCACTAATCGGGTCCTATTACCTGGGGCCCTGGCTATGCCCGAACTGATTGGGGAAAATCCTCGGGCACACCTCGGGCCTTCTGCGTCGCCGCCTGCCGGCGCGGCCCGCGGCAGCGGGCGGCATCCGCCTGGCCACTCGCCGCGCTGCCCTGGCGCGGGCGCCCGCCCCTCCTCGCCGACAGGCGTTCTCTCCCGGCGTAGCCTGGGCGGGCCCAGGTCTCCGACGGCGTGAGCTGTTCCGCAAGCGGTTCCCATCGAGTTCAACTCCAAGTCCTCCTCCTCCTCCTCCTCCTCCTCCTCCTCCTCCTCCACCTGGTCCTCCTCCTCCTCCTCCTCCTCCTCCTCCCCCATCCTCCTCCTCCTCCTCCTCCCTCCCCTCCCTCCCTCCCTCCCTCCCTCCTCCCTCCCTCCTCCCTCCCTCCCTCCTCCTCCTCCCCCTCCTCCTCCTCCTCCCTCCTCCCTCCTCCCCCATCCTCCTCCTCCCCCTCCCAAGTTCGGCCCCTGGGGCCCGATCATATCAGGCCCCGGGGCCATCAGAAATGACTCCGGATCAAAGAAAACGGCCCCACCACGTTTCGCGTGCTTTCGTTGTCAACTCCCGCCCTACTTTTCATGCCGCTCTTTCCGCCATACCTTTGCGCAAGTATCCGCCACACTGTTCCGAGGCGGCAGTATTCGCCGCACTTTTCCCCATCGTTCGAGGTGCACTTCTGGTCATTTCATCGTAAAATCAACCAAAATACGGCGGATCCAAAGTCAGGGTGGTGCCCGTTATTGGGCCTCGGGCCCCATGGCCTTCAGAAATGGACCCAGGACGAAATCTGCCCCGGTGAAAAGGGTTGGGACCTCTTGGGCCGCGCTTGGAGGTGGCCAGGGGGTATGAACTGGATGGACCTCGAGAAAGTCGGTGAAGAAGACGGGATAAAGGGCAGATCCGCTCAAAATCAACCCCAGGACCCTCCAGGGGTCCATCTGGGGCAATGTTTCATCCAAATCCATGTTTGACTGTCCCGGGGCCCGGGCCCGAACACGGCACCCGGAGACCAAGAGAAGAAGAAACTTGTCGAGCCCAGAACCTAATCGAACCTCGCCCCCCCCCCCCCCGCCCCCCTTCCTGCTCGCCGGAACCATTGCTGGGCCACCTCGGACCCCCAGCCGGCTCCAAGGCCGTGCATTGAAAAAGTCACAGCGTCCCATGTATGTAAGGAGCCGAACTCTATACAACGACGCTTTTTCTGGCCCCGCACCGAAACTCGCACAGGAAAGCGGATCCTGGTGTACACAGGGTTTTGGTGTGCGTATACATTTTCGTTCTTGCCACGGGAAAACGGGGACACAAGTATACACCGCACCACCCCGACGTCGTCGCCGACCCTCAAAACGTCTTGGGATTGCAGAACAGCCCGCCACTGGCAATGTATATGCTCCAGTTTCCGAGTATGGGTCCCAGCGTGGCCTGGGCGGGCCTGCGCGAGCACCTTCTCTCGCGGGCGCGTGGGCTGGGCTGGGCTCGCTGCAGAGCCGGTCCAGGGCCCGCGCAGCACTGGGCCCTCTCGCGCTCGCCGAGGCCAGGCCGCCTGCCGCGGAGCGCGCCCTCTTCTCGAGGAACAACAAAAGACATCAAGATAAACGGTCGTCGGCTACACGCAAGAGTGACCCTTGGTAAGAGTGACGTTTGGTGCGCGGCTTCCGGAGGGCCGCGGGGGGACCAAACACAAGCGAGCAAGACGCTACCGTCGCACCGCACGCGACGATCGGGGGGCCCCAATGGCCGCGCATCAAAGGTCACTCCGGCGAAGGGTCACTCTTACGTGTAGTCGAGGTCGGAGGTCCGCACGGATTCCTCGGATCGGCGCTGGAGGCCCCCGGCTTCGCCTCCAGCGCCGTCCCTGGCGCGCTCCGCGCGCCAGGGAGGGGAGCCCAGCGCCGATACAAGGAATCCGTGCGGACCTCCGTGCGGACCTCCTCCTCCTCCTCCTCCTCCTCTTCTTCTTCCTCCTCCTCCTCCTCCTCCTCCTCCTCCTTCCTCCTCCCTCCTCCTCCTCCTCCTCTCCTCCTCCCTCCTCCTCCTCTTCTTCTTCTTCCTCCTCCTCCTCCTCCTCCTCCTCCTCCTCCTCCTCCTCCTCCTCCTCCTCCTCTTATGTTGATGAGATCTGCTGCTCCTCGATCCTCTGGGGCTCGCCGCCAGGGCGGACGGGTGCCAGCAAGGTGGAGGGGGGACGGGCGGCTCGTCCGCGCTAGCAGCCGTGCTGGCCCGAGGGAGGTCCAGCGCCCGCCTTTCGATGATCCTCAGAGCGGGGCGCTGGCGCCAACGTGCGCTTGTCCACCAAGGCCCTTCATGGGACGCACACAGACAAACCAGTACGATTGATTCTATACATATATATGAATATATATGTATGAATATGTGTATGTGATTAAATATATAATGTATCAATACATATATGTGTGTAAGCAGATGTAAATACCAACCTATACATGTGCATGTGTTCGTATACCTGTGTATACATGTCGCAGATATGCGCGCACCAATTTATATATACGCACGTATGAACACATGTACAGACATACATACATGCAGATGTGCATACATACATAAATGCATACATATATGTGTGTACATATGCATACATCCATACATACAGACATACATACATGCATATAAACACACACATACATACATCGATACATAGATATAGTGTTATATATACATGTGTATATATACATACATACATACATACATACATACATACGCGCACAGATGCATACATACATATACATACAGACTGACAGACAGACAGACATGCATGCATGCATGCATACACACATACACACAGACATGCATACATATATACAGAGAGACAGACAGACAGACAGACAGACAGACAGACAGACAGACAGACAGACAGACAGACAGACAGACAGAGTGACAGACATGCATGCATGCATGCATGCATGCATACAGACAGACAGCCAGACAGACAGACAGACATACACATTTGTACAGATATCCTCTGTCGAGGCGCGTCCGACACGAACATATAGGAGACCCACCTTGTAGCATAGGGTTTCCGAGCGGCATGGCCAGAAAGCGCCGGCCACGACGCATATACTAGACTAGAACCACGCGCGCGCTTCGCGCGCGCTTAGGTTCTAGCTTGGCACATCTTCATCGTCGCCGTCGTCGCCGCCGCCGCCATCACCAAAAACATCATCATCATCATCATCATCATCATCATCATCATCATCATCAGTATCATGATCAGCGTCGTCATCATCATCACCATCATCACAATCATCAGAATCGGCGTCGTCGTCATTATCATCATCATCATCATCATCATCATCATCATCATCATCATCATCATCGTCATGATCAACATCATCATCATCATCATCATCATCATCATCAGCATCATCAGCATCATCATCATCATTATCGCCGCCGTCGGCATCATCAGCACCACCGTCATCACCGTCGTATGCATCATCAACATATTCGTCGCCACCATAAGCATAATTATCATCATCATCATCATACGCATTGGAGTTGCCATCGTATCCGTCGTCGTCATCGACGTCATCGTCGAGATTTCGTCCTCGTCGTCGTCGTCGTCGCCATCACCATCACCATTATCATCATCCGTTGATCCGACCCCCTCCTCGTCGTCGTCGTCGTCGTCGTCTTCCTCCACCTCTCCCCGTTCTATATGTCCCCATTGTCCAAGACCTCCTACTCATCATCGTCCTCCTCCTCCTCGACGCCGCTTCCTCGAAGAAGATCCCTGCTCCTCCTCCTCCTCCTCCTCCTCCTCCTCCTCATCATCATCATCATCATCATCATCATCATCATCATCATCATCATCATCATCATCCCCACTCTCTTCCATGTCCCCCTCCTTCTATTTTTCCACCTCCTTCTCGTCCTTCTTCACCTCTAGCCCTCCTCATCCTCCGCCCCCCTTCCCTCCTCGTCCTCAGCATCCCTCACCCACCGTTATCACCATCATCCGTCCGGAGAAGGGGGGCGCGGATTGTTAACAGCCCCCGGTGCTGTTTTCCATTTCACCGAAACTCTGTAGGCAATCCACCGCACCGACTCCGCGCATTTGACTTTCTTCCCGGCAGGCCGGAGCGGGGGAGGGGGCACGATTTGATAACACCCACCGGTGCAATTTCCCATTCCGCCGAGACTCTGATGAAGTAAACTCCCCCGCTTCCCCTCCCAGAGGGGGGGGGACATGTTGTTAATCCCTGTCCCAGCCGCGTGCCCAATGACCACGAATCCAGCGCACCAGCTCTATGCATTTAGCTCCCCCCCGGCCGCTCGGAAGGGGGGGGGGGGCACGATTTGTTAACATCCGCCGGAGCTGTTTTCCATTCCACGGAGACTCCGTCGGCGGTCCTCTGCACCGACTCTGTGACATTTAACTTCCACCTCGGCCAGCTGGCGGGGGGGGGCGGGGGGCAGGATTTGTTAGCACCCCCGGGGCCCCCCTGGTGCTAGTTTCCATTCCATTGAGACTCTGATCAAGTAAACACCCCCGCCTCCCCCCCAAGGGGGCAATTTTGTTAATCCCTGTTCCGGCCTGGGACGATTTGTCAATACCCCCGGTGCTATTTTCCATTCCACCGACGTTCTGACCAAATACACTTCCCTCCTTCACCTCCCGGGGGGGACCCCATTTTGTTAATCCCTGTCCCGGCCGCGTCGCACATGACCACGAATCCTAAGCACCGCTTCCGTGACATCGGTCTTCCCCCCCCCCCCGCTGGCCAGAGAAGGGGAGGGGCCTGAGGTCAAGCAACGTGGGGACTTCCACGCCTGACTCGACTGTGAACTCTTGTCGGGGTTTGTGGCGGGCCTTTTGGGTGTTTCATGACGGCCTTGAGGGTTCTAGGGCATCCCAAGCATCGCCCATATAGAAGTCCCAACAATCAAAACAGGACCCCGCATGGAGTTGTCCAAAGGCCACTACGTACTTGATTAGCAGACTATTGGGGGGTCTCCCCTGTGGTCCGCGGGGCCCCCGCGAGAACCCTGAAGGCCCCAGAGTTGCGAAGATACGCCCGAGAGCATCATCAGGACACGGCGGGGGTGTTTCATGCAGTTTCTTCGAGGGCCGGGGAGGCTGCATGGACTGCGATGGGGGGCAACGTGCGAGTGCACGCGCGCGTATAGCTTTACATCGGCAAGGATTCGGCATACCTGCGTGCGGCCCCTATGTGCAAATGACGCGATGCACATGAATGGAGAAGGGTGTATTTTTCCAAAGCAGATCATCGTCAGTACTGGGCTGAGGGGTACAAGCAGCGCCCTGAACGTTGCCATGGGCACGCTGCACTGTTCAGCTTCGTAACAGAACGTCAGGCCTAAAAATCACAACTAACTTGCACCACACGCATGGCTTATGTTGTAAGCCGCGTGCGAAGGACACTGTTCGACGCACTGCGCGAAATGCACAGAGAGCAGACCCCTGGACGTTGGCACAGCGGGCGCGCAGAAACGACTGCATCGAACAGTAATGTACAAGAGTGCGAGGCGAAGAGGAATGCACAACCCGCACGTGAGTGCGAGGAGACGCTCAACAGCCAACGACATCTTGATGCTCCGGAACTCCTATTAAGACACTGCCACTGTCTAGACACGGCTCGGGATGCTTCGAAGGCGCAGATAACCAGCAGTTGCTCCACGTCCACCTTCTCTGCGTAGCGCGGAGAAGGATGCAATGAATCGCACAGCAGGGCTGTCGCAGCGGCCGCTTCGAATCCGTGGACGTGCGCGCACGGTAACGAAGCAGTCCAATGGCCTCCAGCAGAAGGCGTGCGAAGGAGAAAAGCGGCAGTCGTAAACAGTCCTTCTGCAGTGGAGTGCGGAGCGAAGGGATGGCCCAAGCGTTCTTGAATCTCTTCAGCCGTTAATGGAAATGTTGCAACGTCCTGGCGCGTGAAGTTACACGTTAGGGTGGCAATGTCGCAATTGCTTCCGCCTGGTTCGACCAGGTTCTCGGCGGCATCCCCAAGGCGAGCTGTGAGAGCTACATGTTCGAAGTCTTCTTTGGAAATGGTGGTATGCGCGAGCGATCGAACACTGTTCACTGAAACCATGCAATGGTTGTAGGCATGCAAGCCGCATGTTGCACCCATTTGGACCCCCTGCCAAACAGCAGCGCTGGAAGCGGCATTGAACCAAGGAACTGCGGATTGGACAACCGGCAGGTGTTCGGGGGAAGGCATGGTTGCATGACTTGGACTGTCCCAGTGCGTGACTTTGGTGTCTGACGATGCGCCATACAAGTCTCGTCGACGCGTAGGCTGGTCAGGTCCGCAATGTTCGGTGTCGACATGACAGGCTGCTGCATCCAAAGAGAAGTCCGTGGCACCTGCGTCAGGATCGCCACGTTTTACCTTCGTGTTGGGGACGTCACACTTGCAGGCGTTTGAACGACATAGCGTTGTGTGGAGGAACCGACGCGGCCTGCGTCGTCGATTCCTGTCCGTGCCGTCTGGGGTTGCAAACGGGGCGGCTGCAGCCGTGGAAGATGATGCCAATGGCCGTGGTGGTGCAGCGGGTGGGGGGTCCATGCCGGGAGC